GGAGGGGGCGGGAGGGGGGTGTGGCCCCCAGCTTTACCGCTTGCTTACCCCGGGAGCCCCTCGGAGCATCGTTTCCCCTCTGTAAAATGGAATGGCGACACTGACTTCCTTAGAAGCTAGCGTGGGTATGAGACAGGATCCTGGCACTTCGGAGGCACCCCATAAACTATGCTCTGCCCCTCTACACTTCAGGCACTGGCGTTCTGTGACACTGTTCCCAGGGGGCCTTAGTTTTGATGTTAGAATGAGATGGGTTAGGCCTACAGCACAGGTCATAAATTCAGATAGCTACAGGGATTAGATGGGTCGTGTTAATGAGTGAAAAGGGTCAGAGGTCAGAGAAGTACATGGTCTTTGCTTTTTTTTCTCAAAATTGACTTTCCTCTTGGCAGGGTTGGACTAGAATGAGGCGAGTGAGGCACTTGGCCTCAGACCCAGTCAGTATTTAAGGGAGCGACTTAAAATGCAGTAATCAAGATGGGCAACATTTTGATGCAATAGTAAAAAGTCAGAACACCAAAAATACTCATGATGAATAAAATAGAAAAATTTGAATGAAAGACAGTTTCTGACCTTGTATTCGCATTACCCTGCCTCACTCTACCCTAATTTTGGCACTGGTTCCAGTAAAACTTTATTTTAAACATAGGTGGCTGGCATTAGGCCATCATTCCTTCACTTGGTGTCTGCTGGCTGATTTTCCAAATGTGGCACTGAAAAAGTACTGGATTCTTGATCATTTTTGTGTGTGAGTCCTCTTCAGTTTTTTCCAAAGTGTTTGTATCCCTCACCTCATGCTAGAGACCACCTGACTCTTGGTCTTTCTGTTATTTGCTCACTTAAAGAGAGACTTGGCATAAGAAATACTTCTATAGAAAAAGCAGCAGTGCAGACACATGGAACTGGATCTCAGTACAGACAGAGTAGGGATTGCTAGATAATCAGGCTTGCCAGCCACGTCTGTCTGACTCTATCTGGTTGTCAGGTGGGGATCCTGGCTCATGAGGGCCGGACCCTTCCAATTTGTGAGACCAGATGCTCAGATTTTAAATATGGAACCTCCCAACTTTAAAATGCTGTCAGATATCTTAAAGCATTCAAAAAATGTGTCGGTCACCTTAAAGCTATCTCCCAACCAAATTTCCCCAAGACCTGCTCATTTGAAACTTCCAAGGCCAGGCGTGGTGGCGCACGCCTGTAATCCCAGCACTGGGGAGGCTGAGGCAGTAGGATCACTGCGAGTTCGAGACCAGCCTGGGCTACATGGTGAGTTCCAGGTCAGTCTCAACTACATAGTGAGACTCTGTCTCAAAAAAAAAAAGAAAAGAAAAGAAAAAAAGAAACTTCCAGTGTAGATCAGTTTAGACACTGGAGGATTTTAGAGTCTGGCAAGGGATGGCAGCTTTGGATGTGGGTGTGGGAGCAAGTGCCTGGGCAGGTGCAGGCTGAAGTCTCAATTTCTCCAGGTTTGCAGGATCGGAGTCGAGCCCTTCTGGCAATCCCCATCATCATAGGGATCCTGATTGCTGCCTTGTTGATGTCTGTGTACTTCAGTGAGTTTCCAGGTGGGGAGAGGAAGGGAGGGGAGGGAGCGGGGAAGGGAAGAAAAGTACAGGAGAACATTCCTGGTCCTGATTTGGCCTCCTCAGCTCCGCAATCCTTTCCTTCCTTTAGGAAGGGTGTTCAGCAAGCCGGTGACGGGTAAGGTAGGTCACTCCTGGGATGGGATGCAGTTTGGGCAAGCTGGAAAGACTGCCTCATTGTCACCTATGGGGCAGGAAAACTGACTCAGAGCCTGTCTCTGCAGCCAGTAGGATGGCAGCAGAACAGCCAGTCTCACCCCCACCCACCCCCATGTTTCAGCCTTGATTCCCTTTGTTCACTCAGTCCCAGGCTCTGTCTTCTCCCTGGAGCTCACCTCTTCCCGGAGCTGCCCTGGTGGTTATTCACTCCTTCCCTCTGACACGAGGGGACCCATGCCTTTGGGCCTTGGAAAGGTCCAGTGGGTGGGGGAATCCACTGGCTGCCTCTGGGAGCTTCTTATCGCACTTGGTGTGGCCAGCAGGGGGCAGGCAGCACCCAAGGAATCCGCGCTGGCCCACTGGGAAGAGAAAAAGGGGTTGGGAGGGGACCTGCTTCCCAGGGACAGGCCTCTCCAGGGCTGGCTGTCTCTGTTCCTGGGATAACTTCTCACCTTGGCTTCCCAGGCTATCCATATTAAGGTTGAGCGGCAAGATCCCGTGGAAGTAGCGGATGGGGATGATTTTCTTGGCCACAACACTGCTGCTCCAGTGCAGGAGACTCTGCATGGGTGCCAGCCGGTTACCCAGGAAGATGGCAAGGAGAGCCGCATCTCAGTGCAAGAGAGACAGTGAGGCGGTGCCTACCCAGGACGTGGCAGCATGGGCACAGGGCACCTGGCCAGGAGAGCCTGGAACTTCTGCCATGGTGGAGATGACAGGCTGGCACTGACCAGGCACAGCCCCCTCTGCCTGCGCTGCTGGAGTCTGAGAGCAGCCCCAGCCTCAGCATGAGACGCAGGACACAGTCCACCTCCGAGAAGAACTTCTCATTCCAATTCTGGAGCCAACTTTGTTGCTTGCTTTTAATGATGGAGGGAATGAGCTGGGCATGGTCGTGGTGCACGCCTGTAATCCCAGCACTCGGGAGGCTGAGGCAGGAGGATCGCTGTGAGTTCAAGACCAGTCTGGGCTACATAGTGAGTTCCAGGTCAGTCTCAACTACACAGTGAGACCCCATCTCAAAAAACAAAAACAAAACAAAACAAAAAAAGATGGAGGGAAAACCGTGGTGTTGGAGGAACGCAGGAGTACCGCCAAACCTCCCAACCCAAGCAGGCAGTTTGGTGACCAGACCTGTATCACGAGATCTCCATGAGCCCACGGAGACACAGACACCAGTGTCCACTGCAGTGTTGCTTGTCATTGTGAATAACTGGAGGCCACCTAATTGTCCAGCTGCAGGAGACTGGCTAAATAGAATGGATATGCATTTATAAAACAGGACCTCAAAACACTGTCACGTGAGAAGAAAGATTGTGGGATGATAGATATGGAAACTCCAAAACGATACGATATATACACTATATATAAAAATACAATAGTGTATACAATGTCGTGTCTACATATATAAATACAGAATTACAGATATATGTACAAAATAGTATATGTTATATATGTAGGTAAAACAAGGGTTCTGGAAGGATACACAGAAAAGTCCAACTTGAAGAGTGGTAATTTCTGGGTGGGGGACATTTGGCTTTCCCATATGCTTTTGTTTTTTTTTCCCCAAAGGAGAATGAATTCACATAGTACTTATGTAACAAAAAAAATCATCAAACATGTAAAAAGAAAAATGGGGGTGGACACGCTGGATGACACAGGCTGTTTAATTTGCTGTCAGGCTCCCAGAACTAGGACACTTTCTGAGGGTAATAGGAATGTTCCCAGGCCGCCGCCCCTCCGGACCAGTTTCCACGGTGTGCTCACATCAAGCGTGCGAGGCGCATCCTCCGCGTTTGAGTCAGGTTCACAAAAGCAGCTTTCCAGAGCAGGCAGGGGTCCGCATCCTTCCGTCTTTTACGAAGTGGAATGGAGGCCCAGGGAGCTGAAGAGACTTGTCTACGGCGGCAGCAGCAGCGTACGGACTGCCGTGCTGAGCTTCCCAGTCTTGGTCCCAGCTTCGCCTACGTCAGTGGCTCCTTCCAGGGAGATCCTGGGTCTCCCACTGCCTTTTGACCTCCTCACTGCTGCGGGAGCTGTTGCTTCTCGGTGGTCAGATGGTGCCCCTTCCCCCGCAGCAGTATCTCAGGTTAAAAATAAACGGTCCTGTTCTCCTCTCCTGCTGTGCCAACCGAGGGGGAGCCTGGCCAGGAGGAGCAGCAGATGGAGCAGCAGCAGAGGGGCGGCAGGAAGGCTAGAGGATGAGGAGGAGAGGGAAGAGCGATGCAAAGTGCTGTGCAGAGCTCTGGCGCTGAGGCTGTGGCGAGTTTTAGTGCAGGGATTGCAAGACACAGCTCTGGATCTCCCCAGTGTGTGCTGCTGGCGGGAGGGTGGAGGTGAATAGCGCCTGTCGGCAGCTGGGAGCCAAGAGAGAGGCACCTGGCTTGGCAGACTTCCTAGAAGAGCTTCAGGAGCCCTTTGGAGGCACCAGGTGGACGACCTTGGTTTAGAAAGTGGAGCAAAATGGGAGAAGAGGCAAAAGAGGTATTAGGGCCTAGTCCTCAGCCCCTACCTAGAGCCCACATGCTGGTGGTACTCATTTCTGTGTGGTGGAAAGAGACCCACACCTGCCAGCTATTATTACCCGTGTGATCCTGGGCGAGTTGCTATCACCGCTTTGCCTCCCCAGTTTCCTTGTCTGGTGAATGCTGGCAGGTAGCTGATGCTATTGCTTCCCTCTGTGTTCTGTCCTATGTCAGAGATCTGGGACATGAGCGGGCCTCAGAACCACCTGTGAGGCGTGTCATGTGATGGATGCAGGCCCCACCTCCAGTCTTTCTGCCTCAGTAGCTCTGCGATGGAGCTCAGGAACGGGCTTCTCCAACAAGTTCCTAGGTGGTACTACTGCCCCTGGTCCAGATATCCTACTCTGAGAACCATTACCCTTGATATTTGTGTTGCTGTCCAAGCTGCTGGCTTCCTTTATGGCACCTGGGATTGCTTGCCCAGGCCTCCCTGGTCTTGAAGATGTGCGAGCTGCAGATGTAGGCTGGGCAAAGCTGTAGCTTTGTCAGTTGCTGGCCTGGAGCACATCCACTCAGCCAACCAGAATCCCTGGCATCCTTGCCTTTGGGAGGAACAAGTGTGGATCCGTTCTGCACTTTTTCCTGAGCTTCCTAAGGGACGGAGCTCCACACAAACCCTGGGGTCACTCTGTACCCATTTCTGTCTAGTGTCACTTTTCAACCGCTTCCTGGACTCAGCTCTCCAGCTTAGATTCATTGCTTGTCCCAAATGTGCTTCTGGAAGAGGTTTTTCCCAAGGGTCAGTGAATATCTTAGTGTCTGTGACAGAGGGAAGAGGGGACAATTCTTGGTGAGTATCAGAACCACACGATACTCTAGCAAGTTCTGGTTCTAACAGGGTTTGCTCAGGAGCTTTTTCTGTAGCCTCGGGAAACTTATTCTCTGGTTTGGGCTTTTGTTCCCAGGTGTATGAAGAAGGGCCAGTTCTCCGCGAGTTCCAAGTGTCCTGTCACTTCTGAAAATAGTAGAGAGGACCAACCTTTTCCAGGCGTAGGGTCCATCCTGGCGGACGGAGGGGTGGCTGTGAGGCATGCATTAACCAGGAGGTGGCGCCAATGTAACGTCCAAAGACTAAAGGAGGCTGGAACCCTGAGCGAAGTAGGCTTTGCCGATGCTGGTGCTGGCTCCACTGGCACAAACTCGGGAGGGGAAGCCTTTCTTCCTCTGTGACCCCATCCATTCTCAGTTTTCAGCCTCCCTGTGAGCTATTGCTTTACAAACATCAACTGGGTCCCTGCTGTGTGCCTTGATCCTGGGCCAGGACTCCGGAGGGACAGGAGTAAGTGTGCACTGATGGGGCACACAGTATGTGCTAGGCACAGTGCTAAGAGCTCTGCATGCATTGCCTTGATTTGCATGACAACCCCACAGAAGCTGTGGTCTCTTGTAACACCCACCTCCGATGGGGCTCGGAGGTCACATGACTCGCTGGGGTCTCAGGGGTTAGAGCTGAGATTTGCCCTTAACTAGGTTCACCTAGAAGCTTGTAGCTTCCGTCTGATCCATGAGTAGGGACACAGGCACATGTTAACAGGCCATCAAGATAGTGTGACCATTCAGAGCAGAACAGCAGACCTCTAGTGTGGGCCAGGTGGAGACTTGCACTGGCCCACGGGCTGGGGAGGGAGGGGCAGCACCTTCCAATGGTTCCCAGGAAGGAATGAGGGTTAATATGCTGCTAGGGATCCAGACTTTTATGTGGAAGCTCCCAACGCTTCAATGCTACCCATTCCACAATTTAAACGACTTGGTGAGTGCCCAAGAAAGCATGTCACAGAAGGTTGGGATTGAAAGACCGGGAATTTCATTGCATCAGATGCTCTGGTTTTATGTATGGGGAGACTGAGGCCCTGGGAGGATCTGGGCCACATCACCTGGAATGTCCAAGGCTGGCTGACCTCCGTGTTGGTGCTCAGCCAGGGGTGCAGAGAGAGCCCTGGGGCCTTAGGCTGTACCTCCTGCCCGGGGGCGTCGGGCTGAGAGACCTGCCTTGGTGTGGGCCAGTCTGGATACAGGTGTGGCTCTCACTCTGCGACCGCTGCCCCAGGACCCTGCCTCAGCTGAGGGCATACATGCTGCCTTCCCCAGGCCCACAGAAATTATTAGAGACACTGCCCCAAGGACTTTTCCCTAGAGTAGTTCTGGCATAGAAAATTACAAACCCAGCTGAAGGGGTTGGGGAGGGTGGTACGGTTGGAGTTTGGACTGAGACAGAGACAGACTCAGGCAGATGGGAGGAGAGGAGAGAGGATCCCATGCAGTCAGGCTGTGGATCTAGGGAAGCGTGGGAGGAGCTCACGGCAGGGGGGCAGGGCACTCCCGAAATAAGTGGCACTGCTCAGTGGGGCTTCCAGAGGGGCCAGCAAGGCGGATGAGCAGCTTTTGCCCTGTGAGTGGGGGATGGGACGCTGTCCTCTTCTCTCTGCCCCTCCCTGTCTGGGGGCTGTGTGTGCTCTCTCTCCCAGGGCAGATGCTACTGGGCCTTGTCGCCCAGCTACTTAGCTGCCTGCTTCTCCCTCCCACCCTCTGCAGTGGCTGCCCGGCCCTCCGCCAGAGGGGCCAGCAAGGCGGATGAGCAGCTTTTGCCCTGTGAGTGGGGGATGGGACGCTGTCCTCTTCTCTCTGCCCCTCCCTGTCTGGGGGCTGTGTGTGCTCTCTCTCCCAGGGCAGATGCTACTGGGCCTTGTCGCCCAGCTACTTAGCTGCCTGCTTCTCCCTCCCACCCTCTGCAGTGGCTGCCCGGCCCTCCGCCCCCTCTCTCCCTCCCTGCTTCCTGCCTTGCTCTTTCCCCGCCTCCTCTCTCATCTCCAGCTCTCCTGCCTCACCCCTGTTCTCGAACAAGTGCTATTGTTGTGGCTAATTATAAAAGTCGTACTTGTGTACCACACCCCTCCATCCAAGCCCTAAACAGGCGCGGGAGAACGAGACCACCTGTAAGCCTCGCGTGCGTCATCCCTGCCAGTCACCAGCGATGGTCCTTCCAGACTTGCTTTCTGTGCCAAAAATATTTCTAAAATTTGGGATTTTATTATATGCACTGTTTTGTAAGCAGCCTCCTTTGCTTAGCGGTATACAACAGACGTCTCTCCGTGCCAATAAATATAGATCGACAGCATGTTTTTAATCGCTGTATAGATTCCATCGTTCGGCAGGGCCGTGACGGATGAAAGGGCTCCCATATTGCTAGACCTTCCAGCAGGTTCTCTCTCCTCCTCTGTCTCCCTCTGGAGCCTCCTCCACTCCCTCTTCCTCTGTCTCTCCTCTCTCCTCTCCCATTGTCTGTTGGCTCTTTCTCTCTTCTCCTGCCTTCCTCTGCTGTGTCTCCACGCTGTTTCTCCTTTCTCCCTCCACACGGCTCTTCCCCGTCGGAAGGACGCCTCTGCACCAGCCATCCCGGCTCTCGGGATCCTGGAGGGGA